CAGCTATGTGACTTTGAACGATACTGGATGACATAAATACCAAAATGGTTTATAAATTATGTAAGTACACCTAGTAGGCCTAACTTCATTAGTTCCAGGTTTACAGTTGTGATATTGTGAGATGTTATATTGTGACTTTATTTTAGGCCTGTGTATGGCGGTAATTAATTCTTTATGTTATTGTTATTAAGTGGGTAATGAGTTACAAAACAAATAATCAAAACACTTCAGAGGTGGGGGCACCTGTTTCCAATAAAGTGGTTGAAATAGGACTTGCAGCTAGATAGGATTTGGCCAAGGCTAGCCCATTACAGATTTTGAAATTCCAAAATTAACTAAGAGATGCTCTATGCAGGACTCCATTGTAAGGAACCTGGTGGCCATTGTTCCCTGGCATGTGGTTCTCCACAGTGAGAAGGGCATCAGAAATTTTCAGAACATTTTGCAGAAGCTGATTACATGCAAGTAGTACTCAGCCCAAGAATGTGATCTTAGAATAATACAAGGTTTTGTTGCCAAATGTGGTTAAATGTAGTAAAGATGAATGATGGAGTTACTCTTACTAGCTATCTTGATGACTTCTACAAGAAATGACTGGATCTGACACCAAACTGAAAAAAGTCTGGGAAATAATGAGATTGTTACTTATTTTGTTCTATGATCAGGCTACAACAGAGTGAGGTTTTCTTCAAATAAAGGACCCATTACAACTAACATGGAGAGCAAGGCACTTATCACCAGTGTTCCCTCTAAGCTGTGCAGCCACACAACAACCAATCAAATGCTGCACACTTCATTATTCCAGCCTTGTACATCCTCAGTAATGAAGAGGAGTCTCAACACATTGACAGCCTTAATGACTCTGGCAGATGATAGACCTAAAGCCCAAATAACCAACTAGAAGCATTGCAAAGTGGTCTACTGATCCAATAGGGTCGATGGTCTAAATATTACCCCCCCCCCCCCAATTAAAAAACAAAAAACTAGTAGCACACATCCGCACATTGCCTAGATACTGACGCACAGGAAGAAATTCATTCCGTAGATGGATTGAAAAAATTAGATGGAACATTCCTTACCATCTATAGAAGGGTAAATGATGGTGTGAAAGACCTTGGTGGCAAAGTAGAAGACAATGAATTCACCAAAGAGATGTTAGAGTCATACCATATTGCAAAAAACAGATATGAATTTTACCTGGATGATAAGAAACAGAGAAAAGGAAACCTCTACTGCTCAACAGAAAAGGAAAGATATGGAGGTTGAATTGAATGGAGGAAAGAGAAAGAGAGGACACCAAGAACATCGTGAGAGGATCTGGTTAGTAAAGCTGATCAGCTAGCTCTACATGCTGAAAAGCAACACAAGAAAAAACTGTTGGTAAAGTCAAATATTCTTAAGAGCAAAAACCAAAGAGGTTTAAAATGAACTGAAGAATACATAAAAAACAATAAGATTGTTTTTCATGGTGTGTGGTGTAAATTATAGTTATAATGTGATCAATGTATGACTGTCATTTGGTGTTTGGAATATGACATATATATGTCACTCATATGATTATGATTTGGTATACTGGTGGTGGTAATACCACCAAATGGATGCTTATGAAGTAGCCAAGACTTCCAGGACTCAACATATAGAACTGGTTTGCAGAAGAACTGTCCTGTGGATTGTAAGGAGGCCTAGGTTAAGCCTAAAGATAATCGGACAACTGAAATGAGTTGGTCACTCTATGACGAATGAATGAGTCGGATTGTTGCTCTAAGGTCTTGTCAAAACCATACCATATCAACATAAGGTAAAGTTAATGCTAATTCATGTTCTGTTCTGCATGTGTTAAGACTGATCACATATTTCAGGAAATGTTCCCAGACAGAAGTTTAGCTATGGGATCTTCCTTTTCCCCTTACTTAGTGACCTATACATGTCTGTGTTCAAAGAACTTTTTGGGCAATCTTTCACACACACACACAAAAACCCATAATTTGGCTATGTTATGTGGACGATATCTTTAGCATAAGGCGACATGGTAGAGACAGTATACCTAACTTTGTTGAATTTCTAAACAGTATAAGTCTGAATATTATAGCCTTTACATATGAAACACAATCTGAAAACTGCTTCCCATTTTTAGATGTTCAAGTTATAAAAGAAAACAAGAATATGATCACCAATGTATACAGGAAAACTTTGCTGTATCTATGTCACCACACCAAAGGTCTTATCACCATCTGTCACAAAAAATTTCTGTATACATACTTTTGTAAACTGTATAATAGAATTCTGTACTCACAAAATAGACTTATACATTGAACTTAACTACTTAAAAAATGTTGCTGTATCTGGGGGTTTGGCCCTAATATCATAGACAGAGCTTTTATCAAACTTAAAAATCACAAATAATTCTAATTTTAGCCTTTCCCTTATCAGTAACAAAAACCACAAGTTCATCTCATTTGCTATTGTTCCTGAAAAGGCTACTAAAATAACATGTTTATTTAACCCTATTGCTACAGGTATCCTTTACTGTGCATGTCATGACGTTTTAGTGACTTACATACAAGATATTATTAAACTAATTTTTATTTATGTTATACCAACTGGTATAGCACAAAACTGTAGCTAATAATCCATAATTTAATAATATACAAGTTTTAAGTTTATAAGGCAATATTTTAAAAAATCCTGAATTTCCTGTAGTGTGAAAATGCAACACATTTTCTCTAGGCATCCCCTCTTCTCTATTATATTCACCACCCCTCCAATAAGCATGAAATTAGACATGAATTACTCACTATAAAATCGTCATTGCTCAGACAAACCATTTTTATAGCCTTCAATTTTGTTTGGTTACAGACCAAATTGACCAACCTTGTATAGAGTTAGGGTAGAGAAAATAACAGATAAGTTATTTTTCCCCAAATAATCCTATGCAAAGTGATTTTCATGTTAAGATTAAAAATACTTTTCTTCATTTCAGATTTGATTTGTGTAATCTCTAAGATCTCCTAAATACATTTTAAATGTTTGTTTTCAGTAAAACTTTATGTCCCTCTTATGCCAACCAAAACATAAAATAGAACAAAATATTCTTGAAAGCATTGAAATTATGAAAACAGGTGTTTTATCTTTAAGCCATGTCAATGGCCCTAGTAATATTAACAAAATCTGGCAAAGTTTATTCACCTGCTTCCCTTCCATAACTGACCCACTATGACCTTCCTTTAGGTAATAACTCTGTCACAATATAATGTTGTCACATAATAACACCCCATTGTTACATCCTGTTATCCATAGTCCCTAGAGACATTTTTGTTCTGTACATAAACCTCTTTGTTTGGATCTGTATCATACCTGAAGAAGACAGACTGATGCTCTGTTGAAATATTTAATATTAAAATATTTCATTATGCTTACAAATTGTTATGTCTTATATATACATGTCTCCTAACATAATGTGCTTCCCTACACAAATACATCTGTTTATATTTACTTTATTGTTTTATTGTCTTTTGAACCATTTTTTTACTAATAATCCCACCACGCAAGTTGTAATTCACTTGAAAAACACATAGCTCATGTTACCATACTAAATAATGTAATGCATGAGTTGCTCACAAGCACATCTCGAGAAGAATTTGCACTATTATTAATATTTTTTCACTATCTTACCTAATCTATCCTAACAAGATTCCAATTCTTACATTTTAGTTACTTTTGTAATAACAAATAAAGAATATAAGTGAAAACATTTTACCTTTTGTTATTTTGCTTTTAGCTGCCTATAAAATTTAAGCCTTTTTTTTAATACTAATGGTACTAGTACACTAAATAATTTTACTTACTTAAATAACACACCTAATAATGCAGAATAACAACACGTACAAAGTAACCAATGTCCTGTAACTATCATAATTTAACTTGCTTTCCAGCTATGACATGAGAGAGAAAATAATTCCCAAAGCTTCTCTATCTGAACACCGTGAGAAAAAACTTTCAAACATATGATGAAATACACGATACTATATACTAAAGATAACACAATAACATTCGTCACCTAATGGATTACAACTTTGTCTTTCCATTGGTTATAAATAATATAGTATAAAACGCAGCAAGAACTATTGGCAACCTGAGAATGTGATAGGTGGGCATGGCAAGTGGGTCTGATTATGTTGTTTATAACTCCGTAAAGAATTAAGATTGAAGGCTATAAAAAATTATATTTTGCTTTAGTAATATCTATATTATAATGAATAATTTACATTAAATTCCATACTTCAGAGAGGGATGGTAAATAGATTACAGAAGGGAAAGGGAAACAAATGTTACAATCCTCAAACCAGGGGATTTTGAAGATTTTTGAAAAATATTTCTTAATAAAAATTAAGTACTAAAAGCTTATATAATATTAAAACTTGATTTACTAACTATGTTTCGATGCCAAGTTTACTTGTATACATTGACAACAAAGTAGTTTAACCCTTTAACATCTCCACCAGTATATTTACACATGATAGACATCAACTCCACCCACACATTTACTCAAATTATAGTTATGGAAAAAAAACCTTCAACAAATGATAAAAGGTTAAATAAATTTTTAATGTAACTCTCTAAAAGGGCATGACATGTGCACTTTGACCTATTCATGGTAAAAGGGTTAATATAAGGAACTTTAAAAAGGGTAGAGTTAGAAGACAAACCTATTGTATCATTTGATAAATTCTTCAATAGGATATTTCAAGAAGAACACATGAACTTGTTGCAACATTTTGGGATAAAAATAAGAAGAAACATATCAGCTGGTACTTTTGGTTCAGTATTTCTAGATCACAAAAAATACTGATGATCTCTCGGCAAATTCAATGCTGGGATTACTAAGCTAATTTTTGCAAACACCTTGCAAGTTTCTATAGACAGACAAAGCAAAAACTGGAAAAGTTTATGCTACTTTATTGAGGGAAGGGAAAATCAGACCCAAGTATCCCAGTGCTGCTCATTGTAGGCTGCTGTGGTCTCTACATTGTACATACTGAGTTCATGTATGGAACCAGTAACAGAATGGAAATTAGTCAGTGTTATGAGGACACTGTTATACTTTGTACATTGTTCACTTGTGGGGAATGAAAACTGCAGGAATTGGTAATTCCCAGTTTCTACTGAAATTTTGCATCACCAGATGACTAGAAGTTGTACCTGTTACAGAAAGCGATACTGTTATCAGTGTGCTAATTCTGTATACAAAATGAAACGTAACTTGGTTTATTAGCATTCTTTTAAAGTGTAGAAAAGTAAGTGAACAGATTTAATCTACATGCACCATTTTTAAAAACTGCATGTCATAATTTTTGTTATTTTTTCAACACACTAACCCATTCTTTATTTCATTCTTCACTACATCAAAATATGAAAACAACACTGGATTGCCAAACATTAAAACAAAACAGGAATTAGAAATAAATCTCTGAATTTTCTCATTTGCATGATACCTTTTTGGTTGTGCTAAAAAAAGATTTTAACACAAATTCTAAATTAGTTTTAATACACACGCAGGAAAACAATTTCTTTGTCTTATATACAAATTGAAGGCAGAACTGAAAATTCATTCCCAAAAAGAGTAAACATAAATAAAATAATTGCAATTTAACAGAAATTCTAAACTTGTTTTTTACAAACACAGAAAAAAGTTTCTCTGTCTTATATTATATAAAAAGTGAAGGTTGAGCTGAAACTCCTTCCCCAAAAAAATATACACGTAATGAATAAAATATTGTGAAATAGCTTATCATTGCTATGTTAAACCAATGTGTTTTATTTTCCAGGCTAAATCTTAACTGTTTTAAAAGAAAATATTCCCAACATAATAATATTACAAATTATTAAACTGGTATCAAATTCCACTATAAGCTATAATAATACACTTCACCAGACTGGTAACACTGTATATCACTACAAGTTTTAGGACATACTGGTTTTTCTGAATATAAATTGTACGAAGCTAAAAACTACTTTAATAAAAATACTTTAGAAATTCTTAACAAAAGTTATTTTGAAGTTTTCATACAAATAAGTACTTTGTGATGACAAATCATAGATTTTTCCTGCCCTCGCATGTAGTACAAACTCGGACTGGGTGATCCCAACCTTGAGTGGGTACAGGCTGTCGCCCTGGAGAACAGTGGTCACAAACACCTTGCCCACAGGCTCTACAGTGGTGGAGTGGTGTCTTAGAGTTGAAAGGCTCTTTACAAACACAGCAACAAGTAATCAAGTGGTCTGGTACCCAGTACGTTGGCCTAGCAGTGTCCTTAATGAAACCTGTGGTATGCAATCAATACACATAGATGAACGCTACAGTTAAGAGCTATTAACTATCATTTGTTTAGGGATTTTATAAGTAATTAAATACATAAATATACATCATAAATTACATAGTCTTCATAAGTTTGAAAGTCTGAAAAAAAAGGCTGACAGTTAACCAACCGAATAACTGAATAGACAACTCATTACTTTGCCACACTCTAATAAGTTACTAGTGAACCCAATAAAATAGTTTTTGAAATTTTAAACATGCACTAACTGAGATATTCTACAAAGTTGACTATCTGCTAATGTTGGATAACATGACCACCTGAGCTCTCATCAGTCTAGCTAAGTCAATGATAAGAAAACATTATCAAAAGATCTTTAAACATCTTAGGTAGAGGAAACAGCTTAGTTAAAATTATATTTCCAATTATTTCAACTAGAAAGAAAGCAAACCTCAAACACTTTTTTTTTATTTGAAAGGTTGGTGTGTGCATACGTGTGTATACATACAAGTAAAATTTACACCAAGTTTAACATTTCTTTTATTTTGAACTCTTTGTAAAATACATTACATTTTACTGCATTTACATTGTAGCTTTATGTACTAACGTGTGTATTTGATATGTTTATCATTCCTTGGGGGTTGTGAACAGAACTTTTTCTTTGATAATATTTATTTCATTTTCAAATCACATTATGGTTGTAAGAAACTTTAGAAATACGTGTGTGTGTATATATATATATATATAAATTAAATGCCATGGGCCTTGTGTTGATATAGCAAACAAATTATCACCACAAAACAAAAGAATGAGAAACTGCTATTTTGACAAAACTTTGCTTAAACAAAATGAAATTAACTATTTCAATTTCATTTTCTATGTCAGATTACTAATAATAATGCAATAAAATTCTAAACCTTAATAGTGTACTGATTTGTTCAACTCAATACAAGTAGATGGACGTTTGTATGTCACAACTTTTTACCAAGTTTAATTAAACTTTATTATCGATGTATACAAATAAACATCTTCTGATGGCTAACAAACCATTATGGATAGTACATATTTAAAAATACTGGCACTTAATAAAATGCTTATCTATTAAATTTTACATGTAATACTAAATAGAAGCAGCCATATGACAAAACCCACATGTTAATTTTTCCTAACAAATCTCTAAATATCTCAGATACTTGAATACTGCAATTGTGTACTAATTATTTCAAACTTTATGAAATATTTTAGTTAAAATGAAAAATTCCTTAAATGTTTACCAATTACAGGACAAAAAGGACTTAAGATATTAAAAGTAATAAACACATAACATACATTTACTATGAATGAAAAAACAATCCATCATTCACACAACAAATCTTATTTAAACATTGTGATTGGGCAAATACTGGCATTGTTTCTCTAAAAACAAAACAAAAACAATCATATTTATCAGAATTAAGTGCTTGCAATTCATCAAATGCTACTGAAAATTTAAAATGGAAAAAATAATAATACTAAAAATTACCATAACATTCTGGTGAATATATTTTTTGAAGTACACAACTGTCTGACCAGAACTAGGAATTTACATTTTACACACATTATCAACTTATGATGTTAATATTAGTACATGTTCCATAAATGTCAGAGCTGTGTTAAAATGCTATTACAATTTCCAATCATTTGAGTGAATCTAAACCCTTTATAGACTGTTGAGCATCTTTCTGGTGTTGAGTGCATGTCCATATATCAAATTTCAAAATCTATATGAAAGCAATAATTCTAACTGTACTTCAACAATTTTTTTGTTACTCAAACATATTTTATAAGTGATTTTCAATCATTTTGTGACATCTATTAAGCCTAAAATTGTGAAGAAAATTTTACAAAATGTTAAACTTGCGTTTATGTACAACTCTGGAGAGCCTTGTTTGTAAACAACACATACAATTTCTTTTACAATTTTTCTGCTTATCCCAAAGCAAGTGTTTATATTTACTAGGAAATGATCTTCCCTTGAGAATGCAATTTTTTAAGGTTTTGTTTCTCACTTGATTTTCCTTCTTCTTTTCTGGTTTTATTAGGATGGCCTCTTATTCACATCCTTTTGTAGCCTTATAGAATATGATCAGAACAACTCATAATTTTAGCTCAGCTTTGAAAATAAATACAGGCAAAGCTTGAAGTTCAATTGGTAGAGCAGAATATAAAATATTTACATTTATGTGGAGTGAATAAAGTGGTGCAAGAACTAATGTATGGTTTTGTGGGAATATGACAAGATCTCTTTTCTGCAAAGAACAATGGAATGTAGTAGGAAGATTAGAAGACATAGGAAAAAACTGGAAATTATAATTTCTTTAGAAGTTCTTTTCATTCCTGAAAATGTTTTTGTATTATAATACATTTGTCAGAAATCTAATGAAATTTTCTTCTATGACAAAACATTATGTAAGCCTTATTAGATTTACAGAGTATGGCAGACAATGTCTGAATCTTCTAGTGACTGATTTTGACTCAAACCAGTATTTATTGAATACTAAACAAGAATATTATACTAAGGTTACGTTTTTTCAAAGATACTTCTATGACAGTACTTCAAGCCAACAGCTAGTGTTTCTGTGTTCCTTAAATATGGTATACTGTACTATTTATTTACTGTTAGTTTCATTAACAGTATTGGTCATACTATTTAGTATAACAAACTTCAGTAACTTTTTTAATTTTATTTATTTTTCATCAATATAAATTCTATTATAAAAATTGTTTTGTACTGTTAGCTTAATGTATGTATTTAAGACTAGCCTAAGTCTATTAAGCTGGTCTAATATCATGAGATATCATTGGGATTATGGCCAAAAATACCCTTAACAGCAAGAGCACCTAACTGATGAAATAGTGCATTCTAATCCTTATAAACAGAAGCGTAAGAAGGGTATACTTAATTAGCTATAATGATTACCAGGTTGATTTTGCTAGTTTTACTCTAAGTATGGCTTACTTTGATTGGATTTTGATATTCAAACAATGCACAGAAATAAAATAACTTATTTATTATTCATTGAAAAGAAAATATACTAATTAGATACTAATGGATTTTGCCAAATGAGTAGTTTGACCTGACACCATTTTGAAGGGTCGGGAGTTTTTTAATGATATACTGTAGCAAAGGTGACTACAACAATCAGCAAAATAAAGTATCAAAATAAGTAAGTTAATAAGTATCAGTTAAGTTGAAAACTGATTGTGTGTGTGTGTGTATATACATATATAGTGTAACATTATGATTAACATCAAAGAACCTACAATTATAAAATGAAATGCTTTTAATGTTTTTTTTCAAAACAGTCTCACATCATAATTTTGGAAATTTCATAGCATAAAAAATGATGGAAAAGCTAAATGGAATCATATTAATCTCTTATACCTGAAACTAGATATTATTCAGTAAATTATTATAAGTTTTATTCAATTCTGTTTAGTGTCTATTCTTTGTAAAGGAAAAAAAAATCAAAGAGCATCAGTGACATCCTCCCAATCCAGAAAGGGTTTAAGAGTGCATATGTACTTTCATTATTTAATTCACTGTTGTTTGTTTTATCTGACATCCATAAGATTACTTTAAGATCCAAAACTCACCACATGGTATTATGAATACATAAGTATTTTTACTTCTAAAACCTGGATGATTAATAATTGGAATGTATGCAGGAACTTGTTACAAAATATTTTATTAGCCTAAACTAGTACTTAATGTATTTCAACTGCTTTAACTCTTTTCAGCATGGGTACCTTTTACTGAGCATGACACAAGGTCTTAGTGTCTTACATTCAAAATTTTATTAAACTACTTTTTGTTTATGTTATACCAATTAGAATAGCATAAAATCTTAACTAATAATCCATATCTTAATAGTATAAAAATTTTAAGTTCTTAATTCTGAAAGAAAATATATAAATAAATCCTGAATTTCCACTAGTGTGACCCACGTGACACATTTTGTCTAAGCATGTCATCATCCTTATTTTATCCATCACCCCTCGAAAATGTACAAAATTAAATGTAAAATACTCTCCATAAAATCATTATTGGTCAAACAGACCATAATTTTTATGGCCTTCTATTTTGTTTTGTTACAGAGCTATCAAAGAGAAAATCAGCCCCCCCCTGCCACACCCACCTGTCACATCCTCTCTTTCACAATTGGTTGATACTTCTCTCTTATGTTTCATTTTTATTATT